CAATGAACCAGGATTCTGTAGAATCTCAGATGAAGCGAGTTGATGACACCAGAGTGGATGCAGATGATATTGTGGAAAAAATATTACAAAGTCAAGACTTCAGCCTAGATTCCAGTGCAGAAGGTATGTAGAGAACTGTTAAGTATAGAGTTCTGTAACCCAGGTTTGTACAATCCATGTGATCAACAGGAAAGTGGCAATACATCATGGCACTGCTACACACTTGTAAAAGAAATTTGATGCTCATAAAATCTCAAGATAACTTTGTAGCTTATTTATTTCTGAGAATGGATATTGAGTTTGGGAAAGAAGCAAACTTTAATTAAAAGTGATCAATCTTAGAGGAGCTGTCATTCAGTGATAGAGTAGTTACTTAGCCTTTGTGAGGTCCTGGGTTCAATTTTTAGCACCCCCAAAAAAACAAAAAGAAATTCTAAAGAATATTTGTATTTTAAAATTATGTTTCTGCATCTGCCATGTTCATATATCTTACAATAGAGATCTACATCTGTGTCTGTGGTAGTACTTCAAGTCACAGGATTTGGAAAGTTGGGCTAGTGGTTTTGAACAATAGGGAATAACATAGTCCTTCAATCCCTCCTTAGTGTTTTCCCTAAACTGTAAATTTATGCACCACGAATTTGAAAAGTGCAATTACTCAGATGAAGTTACTCAGATGGTGTGTATAGAGCACACTTAACAATGGACTTAGTTCCATTGTGTAATGGGTTGTAAAGAGAAATAATTAAACCTTGTGAAAAATTGTAGGAAAGACTGTCTTCTTTACTCAGTTAAAAGAAAAAGAGTTGAAGGGAAGTTGATCAGAAGTAACTATTAGAATAGCTTTTAAATTGCCATGTACATAATTGTTTTTTAGTTTTTGATTATTTTAATAAATAAATATGAATTTTGAATTACTAAAATATGAATATTATTTGGCAGTAGCCTAATAAGTATCCATTTAACAAAATTTTAAATGTATATTGCAGAAGAAGGACTGAGGTTATTTGTGGGTCCTGGAGGAAGTACAACCTTTGGCAGTCATCATCTTCCAAACAGGTATGTAGTCCAAATAGTACCTTATTAAAATACAGACTTAACTTTTAAAAAATGCTCAAGTGGAGGACAAAGGTTGCAAATTTTTTATTAGACTGAAGCTATACAATACTAATATTAGTGATTGCATGAGAAGAGTTAACAGTTCTTGGTGTAGTTCTCACTCTTCTTATTCAGGATGTGTTTGACATTATATTTTATAAATTTGATAATTTCCTTAGATGTATTTTTAGAGTATATTAGTAAAGGACTAGTAGAGTACCCAGACAAGTTGCAATATAAAAAAATTATTTAGAAAAGAATCTTAGTCTAATATTTTATTTTTGTTTTGGTTGGTTTTTCTGTATTGGAGATTGAAATTGCATGTTTTTTCCACTAAGCTACATCCCAAGTTCTTTCTCTTCCTCTCTTTCTGCAGTGCTGGGGATCAAATCCAGAGCCTAGCACATGCTAGGCAAGTCGTATACCACTGAGTTATACCCCCAGCCTGCAATCCATTTTATTTTTTATTTTGAGACAAGGTCTCACTAATTGGCCTAGAATTTGGCAATTCTCTTGCTTCAGCTTCCTGAAGAGTTTACAGGTGTGTGCCACTGTCCCCACCTCTTGGTCCAGTATTATAGACAGAACAAAGTAAAACCATATTTCCAGCCAGTGGCCTATCTTTTTTATTTAATTTTTTCTTTTTAGTTATACATGTAGAATGTATTTTGACATTATACATAACATAGAATATAACTCCCCATTCTTGTGATTGAACGTGATATGGAGTTTCACTGATCATGTATTCATATATGAACATAGGAAAGTTATGTCCCATTCATTATGCTGTCTTTCCTTTTCCTATCCCCCCTCTATTCCCTTCAGTCCCCTTTGTCTAATCCTCTGAACTTCTATTCTTCCAGCATCCACATATCATAAAGAACATTTGACCTTTAGTTTTCAGTGACCTTTCTGTTATGTGCAGTTAAGCAC